TTGACCCAAATTGAATACTGATCTGTTGATACCATATACTGAATAAAAAAAGATTCATTCTTGGATGTCTGTGTGTATTATGGACCCTATATTCCATTTATGCATAGAAACATCCGGGTACCTGGGCCGTGCTTTGTTGTTGTTATTAGGTGGCGTCGAGTTGGTTCCAATTCACAGTGACCCTATAGCACAGAGTATAACTGCCCCATAGGGTTTCCAAGCAGTGGCTGGTGGATTTGAACTGCCAACTTTTGGTTAGCAGCTGAGCTCTTAATCATTACTCCACCATGGCTATGCTTAGGGCAATCCAAATGACAATAAGCAATGTCACTCCAGCCTCCAGCTGCCAGTGGAATGAAGAGGGTCAGAAATGAACAAACCAGCATCAACCATATGCTTAGCTCCAAATATTCCAGCCATGTAGCCAGTAGGAATTGGAGCCAAGAAGGAGGCATAGTTGAGGGAGCTGAGGATGATTCCCTGGATTTCAGGGCTCCAGTAGTACACAGGGGCCTAAAGGACAAAAAGGATCTCACTGTTTATTTGTCTTTGGTTAGAGTGTCAACAGTCTTTATTGTGAGGGTTGAAAGATAAAAAATAATGGGTAGTTCTCCTTCACCGCTCTCCAATTCCTCCTATTTACCAATTTCATCAATAAACCTAACTATATACCAAACACAATCTTTCCCCTTGCCATGACACCATTTACTGCCTATCTTAGTCATCTAGTCCTGCTCTAACAGAAATACCACAAGTGGATGGCTTTAACAAAGAGAAGTTTATTCTCTCACAGTCCAGTAGGCTACAAGTCCAAATTCAGGGGGTCAGCTCCAGGAGAAGGCTCTCTCTCTCTGTCGGCTCTGGAGTAAGGTCCTTGTGATGCATCAGTCTTCCCTTGGTCTGGGAGCGCAGGAACCTCTGGTCCAAACGACGCACTCTGCTCCTGGCACTGCCTTCTTGGTGGTGTGAGGTTCCTATGTGTCTCTGCTCGCTTCTCTCCTTTATATCTCAAAAAACATTGCATTAAGACACTATCTAATCTTGTCAACCTCATCAGTATAACCTCATCATAGTGACAGAATTTACAACACATAAGGAGATCACGTATAATCTCATCATAGTGATAGAGTTTACAGCACATAAGGAAATCACATCAGGTTACACAATCATACAACACTGGGAATCATGACCCAGCCAAGCTGACGGATACTTTTGGGGGGCCACAACTCAATCCATGACACTGCCAATTAAAATATAAGACAGTCTGTAAAGAAAGAAAGCTTATAAAACGACAGCATTATATGGAAGGTAATAAAAAGAATGTGGAAAAAAGAGAAAGTAGACATAAATTTGTGAAACTTATTTGTGGTGATACTCATAGTGATGCTGTAGGACAGAGTAGAACTTCCCCATTGGGTTTCCAAGTCCGTAAATCTTTACAAAGCAGACTGCCACATCCTTCTCCCTCGGAGTGGCTGGTGGATTTGAACCCATGACCTCTCTGTTAGCAGCTGTGCCACCAGGGTTCCTAGGGGAAT